TGTTGGTCTGGTATTCGATGTGGAACTCTTCTGCTTTCCACATCTTCACAATCACGTTGTTCTCCCCCATATTTGAATAGCTCCTTTTAGTCTATGCTGGGTGGTTTTTTGTTTTTTAGTTTTTTGAGTGTTCTTAGCAACTTTTTGTTTAGCTTTGAAACAATTGGAGAATTGTTCTCAAATCAATTATTATACGCTTCGAAACTACGGAAAGAAAAGTTAGCGACTCCTCAACGATATTAAGTTTTTAAAGATAATAAACATTTTGAAACAACATTAATGTTATTCAAAATACTTTTAAAACTTATTAAGGAAATAAGCACTACGTTCTATTTTTACCCATATTTACTAGTAGTGCATTTCAAATTTAAAACGGATGCAAATCTTACTGAGTAAACGCGCACGGTATTTTCGCATGCGACCTTGAAGAACCGTCCAGACCGATGCGAATAGCAAAATAACATTCATGGACGGGCGTGTAGTGGTCCACCTTTCGACACTGTCCCATCTATAATTAGCGGGCCCCGCGGAGATGAGCAAAACAACGCGCAACCAACGAACGATTCTCTCTAGGCGTTGTTTCGAGAGATAAATGGATGGGTTTTTCAGGGCGTGTTTTCGATTCCTCACTTTATTCTGATTCGCTATTCAAGTAACATTGCACAATCAATTTCAAATAGTTTATTTTAGAATTTAAACAATAAGATTGAATCTAATACTCTTGAAACTATTATCAAATCTCTATATATTACAAGTTTACATATTGTTAAAATTAATACCACGTTTTTGTTCAATCCATAAAAAATATCGTAGAAATAATAAATAATTTCTATATTCCATACTAACTTTGCAAATGTTTCGCTGAAAATAAACAATAGAAATGAACTGAAATGCAAATGTATCAAATTTGCACTTTTATAGCGGAAGTTTCACCAAATTTTATGCAATATACATTCACGAGAACGTATTTGACCATTTTTCGAATGAAAGAAGCCAGGACAATATTGAATGCGTACGAAGAAAAGAACCAATAATATAACAAAGCCAATGCAACGCCCTATTGCGTGTAATAAAGAAATTTTGTAGGAAAACAAATAAAAAAGAAATGAAAACTTGAAATTGACGCGTTAAAAATTTGATTTTCTCCTACAAAAATAACGAACAAACTATCGATTTGTCCTTGTTCTTTAAAGATAACGTGGAAGAGCACACAAGGACGATACATCGACGATTCCCTTTGGAGAGTTGTGTAACCAAGGATACGCTTGCCCTTAAAGGACACACAATTTTCTAGATTCTTGATAAAAAGGTGCACTCTAAACACTGTTCACTTTAGAACAAGAGTATTCAGAAAAATCATTTGTGGATGTTATTAGATCTAAAAATAATCACGATGACGAAAAATAGGGGAGATTTTATTTTTGCCATTTATATACAAATATTATTGCTCGCCAAACAAAGAAAAACGAAACGATTATATCGGTGCAATCTAATCAGTCGCTGTATTTTTTAATTCAGCCTGATCATTAACGTTATCAAAACAGTCTAACCGGTAAACAATAAGCGAAAATAATGAGTTTAAGAGATAATGATGTGTGGAGGTTTATTTAAGAAATGCAGTTTTAACCAGAATGCAGGTTACGTAACATAAAAAATTATTTATAATTAATAAAAAAGTTACATCATATGACTAATTAGTATAAATATAAGGAAAATCTTTTCTAATTGATTTTTACTTCTTGTTATATTTTTTTTATTATTATTATCAATCGTTGTAAAACCGTTGATAAGACTTTATAATCAAACTTATTACCAGGATTTGCGTTGAAAATATAACAACTTTTATAATGAGGAGTAATTGTAAGATTTAGTGAAGATTATTAATTTTTAGTAGCCTCAATAACTCGTTTAATTATAAAGGTGAACATTAAATTGACACTAACTGGTTGGAAAGGTATAAAAATGTCACTTCCTGTGCATGTTCCACTAAAGATAACATTAACAGAGGTTATAGAAAAGGTTTGCGAATAAAAAATAAGCTAATTTTACCCAAAAGATGTCTGATTAATGCAGTTTTCTCCTATCTGGGAACTTATAAGATTCAAAAGGCAAAAACATCAAAAATTGATGTTTTCGATATTAATATTGGTTCTGACACAATAACTAAAAGCGTTGGAAAGAAGTTTTATTCGTCAAATATATTCTTAAACAGCCCAAAAACACTTAGTAACAACGATATTAACACATCGTTTATAATTTCTAACTTATAAAGCTGAAAACTCCTAAATACTTAAAAATAGTGGTGTTTTCATCAAAATTGATTATAAATCGAAAAGTAAAAATGATAGAAGAAAGGTTTATGAATAAAAAATAATCTAAATTAACCCAAAAGGCGTTTAGTAAATGCAGTTTTCTCCTATAAGGTATTATTGGAAACTCATAAGACTTAGAAGGGGAAAACATCCAAAATTGATGTTTTCGATATTAAATTGACTCTGACACAATAACTAAAAGCGTTGGAAAAAAGTTTTATTCGTCAAATATATTCTTAATCAGTCTAAAAATACTTAGTGACAACGATATTAACACATCGCTTATAATTTCCAACTTATAAAGCTGAAAATTCCTAAATACTTAAAAATAATGGTGTTTTTATCAAAATTGATTATAAATCGAAAAGTAAAAATGATAGAAGAAAGGTTTATGAATGAAAAGTAATCTAAATTAACATAAAAGACGTTTAGTAAATGCAGTTTTCTCCTATAAGGTATTATTGGAAACTTATAAGACTTAGAAAGCGAAAACCTCCAAAATTGATGTTTTCGATATTAATATTGATTCTGACACAATAACTAAAAGCGTTGGAAAGAAGTTTTCAGCCCAAAAACACTTAGTAATAACGATATTAACACATCGCTTATAGTTTCTAACTTATAAAGCTGAAAACTCCTAAATACTTAAAAATAGTGGTGTTTTCATCAAAATTGATTATAAATCGAAAAGTAAAAATAATAGAAGAAATGTTGATGAATAAAAAATAATCTAAATTAACCCAAAAGACGTTTAGTAAATGCAGTTTTCTCCTATAAGGTATTATTGGAAACTTATAAGACTTAGAAGGCGAAAACCTCCAAAATTGATGTTTTNCTTTGTTTGTGAACGAAAAAGTTTTACTTGCCTCTTACAAAGTATCATATAAAATAGCCAGATATAAAAAGGCTCACACCATTGGTGAAGACCTTATTCTGCCAGTTGCGATGGAGATTGTAGAAACTATAATTTTGCCAAACAATTACAATCCATACCTCTTTCAAATGATACTGTTGCCCGCTGAATTGGTGATATAGCCCAAGATGTACAGCACCAGCTTCTGGAAAAGTTTGATGACAAATTGTTTTCAAAAATTTCCGCAATGTGTCTGGACACCGACCATCAATAGAAAGGCTCTGGTTTCCAAAGAAATGAGTCCTGGTCTCAACATTGTACTAACGACGGTTGTAACTGTAGTNCGTCAAATATATTCTTAATCAGCCTAAAAATACTTAGTAACAACAATATTAACACATCGCTTATAATTTCCAACTTATAAAGCTGAAAATTCCTAAATACTTAAAAATAGTGGTGTTTTCATCAAAATTGATTATAAATCGAAAACTAAAAATTATAGAAGAAAAGTTTATGAATAAAAAATAATCTAAATTAACCCAAAAGACGTTTAGTAAATGCAGTTTTCTTCTATAAGGTATTATTGGAAACTCATAAGACTTAGAAGGCGAAAACCTCCAAAATTGATGTTTTTGATATTAATATTGGTTCTGACGCAATAACTAAAAGCGTTGGAAAGAAGTTTTATTCGTCAAATATATTCTTAATCAGCCTAAAAATACTTAGTAACAACGATATTAACACATCGCTTAATTCCTAAATACTTAAAAATAGTAGTGTTTCATCAAAATTGATTATAAATCGAAAAGTAAAAATGATAGAAGAAAGGTTTATGAATAAAAAATAATCTAAATTAACCCAAAAGACGTTTAGTAAATGCAATTTTCTTCTATAAGATATTATTGGAAACTCATAAGACTTAGAAAGCGAAAACCCCCAAAATTGATGTTTTTGATATTAATATTGACTAAAAGCGTTGGAAAGAAGTTTTATTCGTCAAAAATATTCTTAATCAGCCTACAAATACTTAGTAACAACGATATTAACACATCGCTTATAATTTACCAAGTTATAAAGCTGAAAACTCCTAAATACTTAAAAATAGTGGTGTTTTCATCAAAATTGATTATAAATCGAAAAGTAAAAATAATAGAAGAAATGTTGATGAATAAAAAATAATCTAAATTAACCCAAAAGACGTTTAGTAAATGCAGTTTTCTCCTATAAGGTATTATTGGAAACTTATAAGACTTAGAAGGCGAAAACCTCTAAAATTGATGTTTTCGATATTAATATTGATTCTGACTCAATAACTAAAAGGCAGAGGAAAGAAGCTTTATTCATGAACTTCCAAATGGAAAATAGAAAGCTTTTAAGAAGCAAATAACGCAAGCTGTTGCCAATTATCTTTTCAACTGTACCTTCTAAATTTTTTTTTTTTGTTATTACAGACTATTATTTTAAAATTGTATTTTAGTAGATAGGTAAAATATTAAACGTACAGAACCCTTATTCTCAACTGAAAGGGATTTATTTAGCATTAAACACACATACACCTGCAAGGGGTTTAAAAGGATCGATTCGGTTTAGTGAAAGTAATACTAAATCCACCACCAACCGCTTTCACGCCCCTCAAAAACCATCGTACCCGCAGTTTCATCCGACATAATTACCGACCTACGTCAACCCATTTAAGCGGCGGCGAGGCCTAGGTTCGGCGGCGCTCAACAGGTTGGTCCCCACCATCACCGTCGCCGCCGCCACCGGCAAACCAGAAACCGTAACGAAATCGTCGCTGGATTTTTAGGTCAATTCGGAGCGAAAATAAAACTAACCTCGGCGGAGCTTCCATCAAGTGATGGTAGGACGTGGTGCTCGTAGCCGCATATTGCCCCCGAAGGTGCTGTTGGTGTTGGGGGTGAACCATGTTGGGTACCATCGGCGATTGAAGCTGGTTAGCCGCCGCCGATGGATACCAATTATAAGCACCGCCGTTGGCATTGTAACCTTGTCCGTACATCGTCGCCAAGAGAGACATAAAAAAACAATCCTATGGGTTTTAAGTACGCTAGTTGTTGTTTTAAAAAGTTAACACCAACACAACACACGCACCACCAGATAGTAAAAGATCACCACTATAAGAAAGAACTAGAAGTTAATAGATGAAAACAATTCGTTGTTGAAACTTTTTGATCTCAAAAATTAAAAAACATCTTTCTGTTGATTCGCATCTAATACATTGCCGTTAGTAGCGCGTAGTCGCGTCATGATACGTAGTTGCAATAGATATACGTAAAAAGATAAACAAAGTATACGAACACGACGTTTCCTGCGATGTCTCGCGAGCAACTGAACGCGACGTTGGTACGCGGCCGCTTGTTGTTCGTTCGTTCGGATTGATTGCGACGCTCGCGAGTGTACTCACCTTGGTAACAGAGGGCCCTCGGGGGAGACACACGCCTCTGGGGCCGAGTCCTCCTCGGTCTCGCAATCGCCGTTCTCCATGCACATCCTCCTCCTGCCGTCTTTGCCGCCACCGCCGACACCTGCACAAGACATACAACAAACATGAAAGAAGTTAAGAGTAGTCAAGTGATTAAGGGGGAACACGACGAAATATGTTGACGAGGTCACGTCTATTATTCGCAAAATGATTATTTCCTACACGAGATTTGGTTATGATTAAAACTATGAGTTTTTTTTCTTTAAGGGTGTGTCTACACATTGCGCGACTTTCGCAGGACACAATTCTGCTGCGCAACCATATTAATGAATGGACACACCACAACAAAATTGTTACTGAAATATACCCCGTATATTACAACTCAATTAATATAAATAATATAAAATTTTCAAAAAATCATATCGAAATGCAGTGATGGGCGCTGGGTAAATACCCAAATAGTACATATAAAAGTGATACAAGTAAAAATATAACAGATTCGGACAAAAATCTAGAGGAACTTGTGACGATGATCAGCCCAGTTCCACATGAGCTTTGCCACAATGTTGACCGCATCATCTTCTTCGTAGGTCTTCATTTCGTACGTGGTCCCTCGGTTACACCCAACATCGACCTCTCCATCTTTCTTTGCGTTATTTTGAACCTCCTGGTAATGGCCACCGTTAATGTTAAAGTTTCGGAATCGTATGTCATAACCAAAGGAGGAAGCACGCATTGATTGAAAGCTTTTCTTATCATGTCTCTAAGTTTCCTGTAGGCTGCCCATACGAGTATCATCCTTCTGTTTAGTTCGCTTGTTTGATTGTTATCTCTCGATACACGAACCTCATAGCCAAGATATATGGCTGCGATGCGAACCAACTGACATGAGTACTTTAAGAGCAATAGTGGAAAAGACAAGAAGAGATAGAGTTAGGAACAAAATTGTAAGAGAATTTTATGGATTTGGAGATGTCATGAGATTTGCTAGGGGAAAAATAAAAAAAATTATTGAATACTTCCAAAGAATGGAAAAAACCTGGCTGATTAAGACAGCAAGAGACCAAAGATTAGCTAGAAAGAAATCCCGCGAGAACAGGAAGTTGGATTTCCAGCTCTAATGAAACACCATGAATGATACGTAAAAAACAGATTACAACCTGAATAGAAGAAGAAGAATAATAAGATCTTAAACGAACCACTTAATTTTCAATTTGATGGAAGTGCAATATAACTAGAAAAAAATCAAACAAGAATTAATGAAGCACAAAAACTGAATTTAGTTAGTATTATTAGACTTATACTCAATTCAGGACATTCAAAGATATTGAGAATGGTCGGTAATGAAAATATAAACTAAGTACGAAGGCTTTCACGGCCGGTGTGAATTAAACTAATGATGGATGCTGGGGATATGTTGGTAAGTTTCGATGTGGAATCCCTTTTTACTAGGGTACCAGTTAAGGATGCTGTAGAGGGTCTTCGCCGAAAACTCATTCCGGAGGGTTTACCAGGATACGTGCCAGATCTGGTGGAGTATTGCTTATCGTCGACGTATTTCAGCTGGAAAGGAGAATTTTACGAGCAGTTCGAAGGGGCAGCCATGGGATCTCCACTATCGCCAGTTATAGCTAATTTCTACATGGAATTATTCGAAGAGGACGCTTTGAAGAAGAGCCAGTGGAAACCAAAACTATGGCTCCGATATGTGGATGACACGTTTGTGATATGGCAACATGGTCAAAAACGGCTCCAAGAGTTCTTGGATCACTTGAACTCTCAACATCCTATGATTAAGTTCACCATGGAAACAGAAACTGCCAAAAAACTACCTTTCCTAGATGTGTTGGTCACCAGGACGACAAATGGAGATATAGAACTTGGTGTATACCGAAAGAAGACCCATACCAACAGGTATTTACAGGCATGTTCACATCATCATCCCCAACAGAAGAGGTCCGTGATCCGTACATTATTTCAGCGAGCAGCGAGACTATGTGAAGGAGAGAACTTGAAGAAGGAGCAACACTTTCTACGAGGCGTGCTGCAGAAGAATGGATACACTTC